GGATTAGTAGAGCAAAGGGACTACAGACATGGGCAGAGAGGAATGCAGCCAAAAGTCTGGAGAAAAAGCAAAGGCTCTGCACAGTTTTCTGGGTTAGGATGTCTCAGAGCTCAGAAGGGCTGACACCTGGGGACACTGCCACAACCCCAGAACAAGCAACAACTATTGTCAGGGGGAGAAATTTGGCTCCAAGGCACCGCAGCTCAGGCTTGTCATTACTTGAAGCCAAACTGGTTTTAGGCACTAATCCACTGAACAATTTCCAGTTGTTATCAAAATCTATTGGACTTCTTAACCACGAGTCCCTGAGCTGATGTATCACACCCCTCAGGTTCCAGCTCCCTGATTTGTTTGTTCAGAAATTATTTATTTGTTCTACAAATAGAAACAATGTTAAATTAACAACTGGGAAAAAAGATCAGCTGCACACCATGCCTGATTTCTAAAGGGATTTGGCTGCCTGAGCAGATCTTTCCCTTGCAGATCACCATTACCCCAAATATAAATGCCATTTTCCAACCCCTTCCTGTCAAATTTCACTCCATGCTGCAGACATGTGCAGCTGTGTGCGTGAGTGTGTGCTCACACCTGCTTAAATGTTCCTCTTTAGACACTCAGCTCCCCTTGAGGCCCTGCAGGATGCTCAGCAGGACTGAAAATCCATGAGATAGCTGGTTGCACTGTAAATCAGGGATGCTCCAGGCTGCTACAACCTGTCCTGAATCCCAATCTTCTGTACCACTATCAGTGTGGCAATTCTTGCTGGGTGATTTAGTGAAAAAGCTGTCATTTATGGTCAAAAGAAAGATGATGGGTAAGTTCCCTGCAATTCTGGAATTCTCTGGAAGAATTTTTTTTATCTCATCGAAAAATAGAGGAACTATTCTTGAGTAGAGCCCTATCCACCCTGTCTCAGGTGCTCATCTTGCCTGGCAGTAGGCAGCTGGAAACTTTTTAGTTCAAAGCTCATTCTCTTTGGATCTTTTGGCAGGGGGTAGAACACAAGGGGCATCTCCAGAGGATGACTTGGCTGTGCTATTTTAGACCCTTGCCCTGGGAGGAGATGAATCTGCCTCTGTGCTGCATGTTTCCCCCCATGGACATGAAGTGAGTGTTGGTGACACAGGCTCAGACTTGATAACATGGAGGCTTGAATTTAACCTAATTCACCTACAGACTCTCAGAGGGGGCTTCCATGGGGTCAGCACAAAAACTGGTACAGCATAAACTGCTTCTCATGTGACTTTCACTTCCTCCTTTGAAATTGTCTCCTCTGCCTTCAAACTCTCATTGAAAGGCCCAGTGTGAGCAGCACAGATTAATTTAAATCTGAGTGAATATTGGGCTTGACTTTTAATTCCATCTTTATTCTCCACCAGACCTTCCATTTCCCTGAGCCTTAATCCCATAACAGCTTTAAATCTGTGTGTGTGCATTAAGTATCACATTTAAGGGTTCTGACTATCCCTAAATCTTATTTCTCACAAGTCCACAACTGTAGTGTTGGTTTAAATTGCCAGAAGCATTATTTTGGTGGGTTGGGTGGGGACTGAGTGTTTAAAATATGATTCTACAGCTGTCAGTATCACTGTGTAACTGGGAATTAAGCCTTTAAAAAGATGTTTAATCATAACTTGCAGTGACTAAGGAGTGGATTTAATGGGGAGGAATGGAGTTATGTGGGGAATGAAATCTGAAATGCAAAGGGAATAAAAAATTTCATAAGCCTTAAAAAAACCAGGAACAAATAGCAAACAGACAGACCATGGCTTCTCAAAAAAAAGCAGAAAAGAACCAATCCAGAAGATCAGGCACAGTCAGAAGCTTGCATAAAGACAGATACTAACACTTAACCAATAAAATCTGGAAAACTTGCTGTGGGGACAAAGACTGGCCCAAGCCTCCCCTGTGGTTACTGCAAGGCTGTGATAGTGAGGTGCTGGCTCTGCCAGATGATGCTGTGGGCTCATGGCTACACCCAGGGCTGGGTGAACAGGGAGCCCTGAGCACCTGTAAATCACAAAGAAAACAAAACATCGAAGATCTGTGCTCCAGACACAGGCTCAGAGCTCAGCATGTTCCCACTGAAGGCCAAAGTCATTTAACATTTGGGAAGCAAAGTGGCTGCTCCAGCCAGCACCTGCCCCATGCAGGCCCTGCTGCTCTCGGCAGGGAGGTGTGTGTGCACGTGTGCCCTGCACAGGTACAGGCACAAACCCAGCTGTCACATGAGAAAGGAGCAGGGAAAGGACAAGTTCTCGGCTCTGCTGGGAGCTGGTGAGTGTGACAGCAGTGCCAATAAACAGGGAGAGGACACACGTGTACTAGGGGGTCTGAGGCTCCATGTGTGGGGCACGAGCAGGAGGTTCATGGCGGCGGTGGGGAACTCGCTGCTAATCCTCTTCCACACAGCCTTCCTTGGGGGAGGAGATCTCATGACTCCAGGGAGAAGTACATTGTGTAACTAAGCAATGGTGAACCCAAGCTCCATTTAACAGGGCTTGGCACAGGTGCAACAGAGTAGGATACTCATCCCAAGAGAGCGTGAGAGAGAGCATCTCATCGCCAGCTTCGAGTCCTTAAAAGCCCTGTGTGGCTTTGGGAGACGAGCACAAGTAGAGAGGGAAAAAAAAAAAAGAAAAAAGAAAAAAGCCCATAACCCCCCCAGACAGCAGCTCCCTGCACTGGGTTTCCCTGCACTTGTGTGGAAATGTTGCATAATGTCCCTTTGCACCACACGGAGCTCTGAAATCTGCAGGATCAAAGCTGTATGAAGACACTATGGATGTGCCAAGACAAATTTAAAGGCATTTCACAATTACAGCAAGAAGCACAAAACCACACTCTTGCTGTTCCACTGTGACATCTAGTGGCAGTGGCACTGGAGAACAACACAGGGATGGTGTTCCTGGTTTTAGGCCTTGCCTCCTGAGCAGATTTTCCCCATCCATCTGAGAGTTGTCTTGTGTTATTTTGCAAAAAGCTCTTCTGCCACTAATCTTATTGGATTTTTACAGATCTAAAAAATTGGGATTTAAAGCTATCACAGTGTGCAGGAGGGCATCTTGCTTCCTAGAATGTATCACTAGGTCTCCAGTTGTGGGTGCCTTGTCTTTGGTTTTATAGCTTTATGGCACAGACACTGAAAAAAGACAAAAAGGACCGTGGGTTAAAGAGTGATTTTTTTAAGATGCATTTACTGAAAAAGCAAATGAGTTAAAACACAAATATTCAGGTCACAGCAGTGTCCAGTTGAGGGCTGGTCTTCCAGGTCTCTAAGGTCTGAATTTGCAGTTGTCACGTAAATCTTGTTTGCAAACCATTCTCCAAATCCAGTTGTTTTTCATACAGTTTGCTGAGTTTCTTGGTAGCAGCTGGGCAAAATTTTTGTTCAATCTGTTGCATGGGATCAAAAGCATGTGATGTGGTGTGAAAAACTTGCCACTAAGTCACCGTGTAACCTTTGCCATAGTAATTAAAAATGTCACTTCTTGCTCCTCCCTCCTGCTTTCATGAGGGTGGTTTGCAGGGCTGCTTCTCTCTTAGAGAAACATTTGGACTGTGGGCCTCTGCCTCTCCTGACTGATTAAAAGGAAGATAAGTATTTGTGCTTTGAAGCTTCATTTATATAGAGAGATATTCAGGAACTGTTTGGATGGTAATGCTGCAGGCACTGTTTTCACCTAATGGCCACAACTACCAGAGAAGGAACAGCAGAGCAAAGCAACAGCAACCCAAGGCCTAAATTAAATGGTGGGTTTAAAATAATGTCACTAATAACAAAAGTAAGCAATAAAAGAGAGGCAATGAAATAAAAATGCAGCTTAATGAAAATTTCTCCTTGGTGGCAGATGCTGATGCCAAAACAGAAAGCCTGGACTTCAATGAGCTCCCCAACACATGCTGCAGTGATTTAATCAAGAATAGGAGCAACACACTGGAGAAGTAGGGGCTGGGAACTGGGGGTGACAGGGCTGGAAGTGCCTGGGGAAACTCATGGATTTGAACCCATCCTTATGGTCTTGTCCCAGCCTATGGCAGCTTCACAGCTCGAAGGCAGGAGCCAGGCTGCTGGTTAAAAAACACCCCAAAAAGGGCAAGGCCACTATGGTAGATGATGGGGTGGACTCAAAGACCTTGGAGGTCTTTTCCAACCTAAGGAATTCTCTGAAGTGCTTTTGCTGGCAGGCAGCTTTTACCTGTTTTTCCTGTTTACCTGTTTTTCCCCTCTTCCCAAGCCCCCACACAGGGCTCAGGATGTCAGGTGAGGGTAGGATGAACACATGAAACACTCCAGTCTTCGATTTTCACCCTGTCCAAGCCCCATCTCAGCACCTGGGGGGAAGAGGGCACAGAATCATTGGGGTTGGAAAGAACCTCTGGACATCACCCAGTCCAGCCCCCCATACTGGCAGGGTCACCTGGAGCAGGTGACACAGGAATGTGTCCAGGTGAGTTTGGAATGTCTCCAGAGAGGGAGACTCCACACTCTCTCTGGGCAGCTGTTCCAGAGCTCTATAACCCTTAATGCAAAGCAGTTCTTCCTAGTGTTGAGGAGGAACAGTTTGTATTTTAGTTTATGGTCATTGCCCCTCGCCTTGTTGCTGGGCGTCAATGAAAAGAGTCTGACAGCATCCTCTGACACTCCTTAGATAATTTAAATGCATTGATGAGATCCCCTCTCAGTCTTCTCCAGACCTTAAGGCCCAGCTCCCGCAGTGTCTGTGCATCAGAGAGATGCTCCAGACTCCTCATCATCTTTGTGGCCTTCGCTGGACCCTCTTCAGCAGCTCCTTGTTTTTCCTTTGCTGAGGAGCCCAGAAGCGGGCACAGAACTCCAGGCCAGGGCCGTTCCCTGCCCGGGGCTCAAGATGGCGGCGGCCGTGAGGGACGGCCCCGGGCCCCGGGGCGGGAAGGGCCCGGCTCCGCCGCGCTGAGGTCGCCCGGCCCCTCCCGACGGGCTCCGGAGCGGCGGGGAGGGGCCGCAGCCGGACCCGGCCATGAGCGGCGTGGCGGAGGCGCGGGAGCTGGAGGAGCGGCTGCGGGAGGCGGCGGCCCTGGGGGACGTGGCGGAGGTGCGGCGGCTGCTGGGCGCGGGGGTGGACATCGACTCCCGCAACGAGATCAACGGCTGGTGAGGGGCGGCGGCGGAGCGCGGGTCCCGGCGCTGCGGGGGCGAGGGGCGGGCCGGGGTCGCTGCGGGGCCCGGCTCCTCCCCCGCTGCCTTTCTCAGCGGCGCTGCTCGCGGTGGTTACGCTCGGGGCTCTCCCCAACCCATTTATCAGGCACGGGGTGAGGGAGCTGCTTTGGAGACGCAGCTCTTGTGTTTAAGTCGTAGTTTTCCCATATGCAAATACAGAAAAGCTAATCTCGGGAGGCTCGGAGATTTACTGCTAAAGAGGATCACGATAAAAGCAGGTCGCCCTCCTTTCACCTGTCACTGCGTGTTTGCTCAAGGGCCCCATCCAGTCATTTGTGTAGGACAGTAGCGGGAGCCACTCTGCAAGGCAAAGGAGCGCCCTGCCCTGCGCAACTTAGAGATTCAGAACTTTAAGAAGTGCTGCAATGAAGGAAACTTTATCCCAGTTTTCACTTTACACATAACTCGGGTGAAGAAGGACGGGGCTGGTGAGGAGGAGCCGGGGCGATGCATCCCAACCCTTCTGCTTCCTTCCCGCAGGACGTGCCTGCACTGGGCCTGTAAGCGGAACCATGCCCAAGTGGTGTCCTGCCTGCTGGAGGCTGGCGCAGACAAGCAGATCCTCACTGCTAAGGGAGAGCTGGCGGCACAGCTAACATCGAAACCAGACATCCGCAAGATTTTGGGAGGTTCCCATCTTAAAAGTCATCTAGAATTCTTGGTCTAAAGACTAAAACTTTTCAGTGCTTTTATCTGAGGCAGTAATTGGCAAAACCTTGGCTAGGACCATTCTATCTCATTAGATAGCTGTGATTTCTAACTGTAATTCATATTTGGGCAAATAGACGTGGGGATTTCAGGTAGGAAGGCTTTTTGTTCTGAGAGGTGTCACCAGGAAATGAAAGAGCTGTAGGCTTTGGGAAGTGTGCTGATGCACTCCTGTTGGCTGTCATAAAGATAAAGCTGGCACACAGGCTGCAAATGGGGGCTTTACAATTGCACAGTTTGCTGTGCTCTGACCATGATCAATATTACAAATCCCCTCACAACTTTATCACTCAGGAAGTTATGCCTTCTGAGCACCTTGTTATAGTATGACTTGCTGGTATGGTCAAGTTTTGCCATGGAATTCTGCCATTTTGCCATTCTCATATGCACAGCAAACCCAGTTAGATGTGTGTGGCACTCCTGAACAACAGCAAGTGCCATCATCATCTAGGCACTGTGCTCCAGATTAAAATTCTAAAGTGCTTTACCTTTGGAAATGTGCTGTCTTCTGCAGTTGCACTTAAATTGCTCTCTACAATGATCTGCTCTTAGATCAACACTGCAGGGTCATCCTTCTCAAGGTTGCAGCTAAATCATGACTCAGGTTCCAACAGTTACACCAGAAGGAATGGCATATTCTTACTTGGTACTTTTGCTTTCTTTTGGGCAAGGTGCTCATCTCTTGGGCTTAGTTTGTGGCAGACAATTCACCTGCTTTTAACATTTAAACTGTCAAGCACGTGGATAAACTCTGTTCATAAATATCTTATTTTTCTGTCTGTTAAGCTTCCATGTGTTTCCTAGGGAATAAACACATATCACGTACCTTCTCTCCTAGTTTTTATTCTGGGAGTGTGGTATCATTGAGCAGATCTTTCTGAACTGCTTTGACATCACTGTTTATGTTCTGTAATCCTCAGGCAGGAATGTGACTTACTGCAGTGCTTTTATGCAAGAGTTGAGTTTGTTTGGGTATTACAGTAAGTAGTCACTTCCCTGAAAAAATACTGGGTTGAATTTGCTGGCTTAGGTCATAATAAACTATTTACAGCACTGCTATTAAAAGCATTTTAAAATGAGATTCAATAAAGGACTACTGGTCATCCAATTCATTTAAAAGCGCTGGAATAACACTGCTAGAAATGATCTATTTTTCAAAGGTTATTTTTTCCTCCCCACTTTATTTAAAAAAAACCTCCAGAATGTACTCAAGACATTTATAGGTTTTTCTTTCACGTTACAGCTACTGGTCTCAAGTATTACGTGCTTCTGGAACATTAGTGTCATTCTTTGATGACCTTGGAATGTGATGTAGTTTAAAGATACAGTAGGAAAACTAACTATATTCAAAATGAGAAAGATCTATCCAGTAACATGATGGGTTTTTTTCTCTCTCCATCCCCTATCCCTCATTTCTGAACTTCATCAATAGAGGAACAAACTGAATGTCAAGGAGTGAAGGATTTAAATTTACCCATTGTTGTGAACTACTTGGCTAAGCCACCATTCCCTAATGTTTACAGTGAAGAAAGCATTCCGGGCAGCTTGGCAGAGTCCCAGAATGAAAGCACTTCCATCTCTTCTGCTTCCCAGAGTGAAACCAGCCCTTGTCCATCAGCACCTGAGGCTGAAAGCATCTGCACACCCACGTCCTGCAGCAGCGATGAGACCTTCCCAGCCCCGACCACCGCAGCCAGGCCAGCCCCTGTGCCCACCACCATCACCACAGCCTCAGTGTGTGCCAGCCCAGGGCTGCCCCACGGCCCCGGCTGCCCCACAGCCACGGCCCCCAGCCTGGGGCTCTGCTCCCCACGAGTGTCCAGCCAGGCTGTGCCTCTGCAGCCTGACACCTCTCCCAGCGGCCCTGCATCTGCCTTCCAGCCCTTCTTCTTCACTGGAAGATTCCCCTCTAACATGCAAGGTAAAGAGGTTCCGTGTCTCGTAGTTCTCTTACACTTACTGGGTGAACAACGAAGTTAAGTAATCATTTCACTTCAGACTCTAATAGAATAGAGGCAGAGATGTTGAATTCTGTGGCCAAACGTGCCCTGAACTTTATTCTGCTCAGCTAAGTAAAATGTCTGTTATACTGTATTTTAACCATGGTAATACTTTGCAAAATAATGGAATGATCAGTCCATGTAACATGAAAATTTTAATTCTGCACTAAATTTCCATCGAATGCAGCTCTGGTATTTTGGTAACAACTTGACTTTGTGACGGGATGGATCAGTTTCTGCAGTGTTAACATGGTTCTCCTGTGTATTTTTGCTGGAAGCTTCTGGTAACTGCACAGTATTTCTCAGTGAGATCACAGGGTTTGTATTAGAAACCTGAATTCGGAAGATAATGGTAAATACCGTAGTGTTGTTTGAATTGTCTTTTTTGTTCTTAACCTTTTAACTGTTTCTCTGTCAGAACTTGTGCTCAAGGTCAGAGTCCAGAACTTGAGAGACAACGACTTCATTGAGATTGAACTGGACAGACAAGAATTGACCTACCAAGATCTGCTCAGAGTGAGCTGCTGTGAACTGGGCGTTAATCCAGAGCAAGTTGAGAAGATCAGGAAACTACCCAATACACTTGTAAGAAAGGTAAGAATAGAAACGAGGTATTAACTTGACTGCACTTTGCCAACATCAGAGAAGGTATTTTTGTAAAAAGATTGGCAAAATGTCACCTTTGTTAAATAAAAACTGACTTAAACTGACAGATTCAAAGAGATGTTGGACCTTTCTTAAAACTTCATCATAACTTGTTTAAAAATATTCTTGTCAGAATAGGCAGAGTATTTCAGCTCCTAAAGCATATGGAACTATTACAGTTTGACTTTTAAAAAATGTATCAGAAACGGTGCAGTTAGGTGCTTTTAACATAACTGCCAAGTACTACTTCACTGTCTGCTTGCCTAAAAAGACCAAACAGTAAAGGGAAGAACCTCCACAAATTGGCATATGAACAATTTAAAGATAGGCTGTTAACAAACCTGCTCTTCTGTTCCAAAAATATATATTCCCGAGGTCTGTAAATGAAAGTGGTCACAACTCTTGGGTAAGTGCCATGCACAAATACAGCCAAATCATAATGAGATTAAAGGAGAAGAAAAAGTTTGAGGAGAAAAACCAATCAAGCAAACCTGCTACACTTTTAATGAGTATATGCTGGTAGGATTTATTTTTTTCATTCTCTATTGCTATTACTGGATGTGATATCCCTGGAATTTTAGTTTAAACTTTCTATAGTTATTTTATAATAACAACCAGCTATATTTAAGAGTATGATGTTGTTCTGCCTGTTCCTTACAAGGACAAGGATGTTGCCAGACTCCAGGACTTCCAGGAGCTGGAGCTGGTCCTTTTGAGAAGTGACAGCTCTGCATTCCGGAACGCTGCTGCTGTGCTGACAGAGCGGCCGTGCTACAACAGCAGAGCATCCAAACTCACCTACTGACCCTGCAGAGACTTCAGTGTGTGTAAAACCTTAACTTATTATTAGGATTACTATTTTAACTAATATTTTATATTTTATATTTAATACCCTGTTTGCTTTTATTTTTTACTTGATACTGTATTCAGCCAAGAGATACCTCATTTGTCTAGTAAAATCACATGCTTCCACTGTATTTCAAGGAAGTTTATTGGTTGTATCTTCTAGCAGGGGGCACAAAAGACATAATTAATGATATGAAAATTATGTTAAGTACACCCACCAAGTAAGACTCATGTAAAGATTCAGGAAACTGTGTGTCTCTGTGTGTATGTATGTATTTTAAACCTCCTCATTAAATTAAATGAAAGAGACACACAATGAATAGTTGCTCTTTAAAAATGTAAATGTGCAAATCCCTAAACACTCACCAAGATGGGTTGTCTAGAGATACTTAATGCTCAGAAGTGGCAGGAGAAACCCTTTTACTGGGCTGAAAATAAGTGGAATAAGCATGCCCGTATTTAAAAGTTTATTGCCCTGAGAATATTGTACCTCCACCAAAAAATACAAAAGCCTCTTGTAAACGTTCCTTAATTAAGTCTCAATGGAGTTGAAATGCCCTTTCAAGAGAAAGCCCTTGTTTCAGGAGATGGGGAGGGGAACCCCAGTCTGTGTCAATGGTTTTTACTTTCTGACTGATGTGAGCCTGTGCATTACTCACACCAGGTGTCACTATTGTCAAGACAGGAAAGCTTTGTGGCCCTCTCTCGTACACCAGTCCCAAGGGGGGTGGTGGTTTGTGCTGTGTGAGAAGCACAGCAGTGTCTGCAAGGAACACAGCGTGCTTTTACATGCCACTAGATGGGAAACAAGCACGAGCAAGTAACCTCTAATTTTCCATCATGCACATTCTACTGTCACTATCAGAGCCTTGTTTTAGCCAGGTGAGTACTGAAAGGGCTGAATGCCTCTAGGGGCTTTCAACTTATTTTTTTTCCCTCTTCGTTGTGGGGAGTGAAAAAACCACAACTCTAGTTAAGCTACAGACGATTTAACTTGCATTTACGCAAAGTCAGTAATGAAAGAATTCACCTGTGAGTTAAAGTACCTAAGTCACAGCATTGCTGGACTATAAACAGCCTGATTAGCATGCCAGCCTGGAAACTTTTGGAGGCTGTTTTCTTTTTTAACAAAAAATATGATGCTCACCTTTGCACCAAAACCCTTAACTGGGTCCTGAGGTGGGTGGAGGAGTGAGAGACTTGCTTTTTCTGCATGAGCTTCTTTTTCTCCCCTCTGTTCCCCCCTCTCCCCCCAACTCAAATTGTATTGATTTTCCTTCCAGCTCTGCTTTCTGAGGCTGCACTAGAGCAGAATTTCTGCAGAGCTGGTGCTGTGTTTGTTGTTGATCTGGACTGCAATGTTGACAAACTATAAATAGTACAGCACCATGGTCTGGTAGGGGCAGCATGGCTGCCACCCTCCCTGTGCCCTGCACACCAGGAGAAGACACAAACCCCTTCTGCCAGCAGAGGAGATGCTTGACTCTGGGCTCAGGATTTCACCAAGTTACTTAGGCTTAAAATTCTTGCTTACTGCAGTCAAGATAATTATCATCCTTTCCTCCATGTTCCACACACATCACCTCAGCCCTGCTAACTTCAGATTCTCAGTCCTGGTTTTTCTCCAGCCAGGAGCTGAGCTACTTTAATGCCAGATTCAACTCCTGGGAAGCTCAAGACTGTGACACAGTATGAAGTAAAACTTAACCAATGTTTCTCCCTTGTTTTTCTTGTAGCACAAGAAAGAAGGTTTTAACAATTGTGTATTTATCTTTCCAGCATTGCTTGGAGGCTAGCTCAGATTATGTGCAATAACTGTATGAAAAACTGTAGTGGCTAAATGGCTCAAAATTAATGAGAGTATCTAATTTCTTTACAGTTCCTTTATTTGGGAAGTCAGTGTAAGGACTGTTTCCACTAATTACTAAGCATTCTGCTAGAGGGCAGGTTTAAAAAGCTTTATTTCTCTAGTTTCCACCAAGAATAACAGTTAATGTGTTAAATCTTCAGCTCTACTCATAATCTGACTGTAATAACAGTAAATCTATGCATTCAGAGAAATATTTTTGTATGTTTTATGCAGTTTGATAAACTCTAGGGCATACTAGTTATGTTAACTGTTTTTTGTTGGGCTTTTTCTTTGAACAATAAACTGTTGGAATGACAACTGAGATTAAGTTTACAAGACTTACTGTTCTTCCAAGGATGACTTTTGTTTGCACTATGAACTTATACTGAACTGACATTGCTACTCTTCACTTATATTAAAGTATCAGTCATTTCAAGTACCTTGATCTCTCTCTTTTTTTCAGGGTGGGGGGTAGAAGGATGTGAAGAAGATCACCCTAGAGTGGACAGGGCACTTTAAAATTTTAATGCAACTTTGAACAATCATAGGCCATTTTTAACACCTAATAAAAGATTGTCAGACTGTCAAAACCAGTATGGAGAAAGCATGTAAACACTCTTACTGAAATCAGCTACTTGCCTTTTGCCTAACATTGCTAGAAAATCTGGGATGGCATTTATCCCGGGCTCAAGCTCTGAAGATATTTCTCACCAAGATCCATCTCTGTAGAGATGTTTGTACAATCAAATCTGGAGGCAGAAAGGCACTGTGTTTCTTATGCTCTGCAAAACACAATTTTCCTTCATCTTCAAAGCATTAAAGACTCCCCTATGAGTCCCTATGAGACATGTCAGAATCTGAATCCCAGGCTAATCTACTACAAGGTACCTCATTTTATCATTTTTACTTTTGCAAAGTAAGGGCAAATGCAAATCAACAAGCATGGAAGGTGGAACACAAACATTTTCACCCCTGAAAGAAGTAGCACATGCAGGAAGAGGCTGAGTCCTGACTCACGAGTTTCAAAAGGAGGAGGTTCATCTAATGTCTCCATGTAGAATTTAGCTATAATTTCACCTGCTCCCACTTTATTTTTTTCCCAAAAACACCACCACACGCACTCTCCAACCCCTGTACCCCTGTGTCTGCTTTAGAATAACAAGTCAAAAAAGGAACATGGCTGTCTGCATGTGGTATCAAACCCAGCACTACTGACCAGAGGGACCAAGATGCAGATTCCTCCCAAGTGCACTTCCACACACAGACCACACACAGGCCTGCAAATCAGCACAAGCTACAATGGTGTTCTGTCCATGCCTGACTTTGGTTACATATACAGTCAAGGCCTGAATACTAATGGCAAAGATAATGCTCTTTTTAAAGAATGTGAATTCACTGCCTTAATGCCACAGCACTGACTACTCCACACTGCAGTTCTTTTCCAACAAGAACCACTGCTGCTTGCACTACAGCTTCACAGGGAAGCACGAGGCACATCTCCCTGCTCGTGTGTCTGACAAACTGCATGGGGCTGTTAATCAATATCCCAAACCAATCCTGCAATGCAAATATCAGGCAGTTTGAACAATCTCAGCACTGGCATCTCTCTAAACATGCTGTTAAACTATTTTAGAAAGAGTTAATACCTACACTTTTATTGCAGGATTTCTGTGATTTCTTAAGCAACTGCAGCAAAAGGCACTTAGTGGGGAGATGCTGAACCCAACAACATCTAACTGCTGCAAAAATAAACCTGAAATTAAATCCTGATGCACCAATAAAACTCAAACCCACAAACAGCACAGAGTAACTAAGCATCCAAATTAATGAACTAAGCTTGAAGACATGAGTAATTTATTAGGAAAGAAGCTTATTTAATATTAAATGTTCAATGACAGAGACAATCAAATTTGTAACAGAAATTCAAAGATACTTTATTTCCATTTCTCGTATATCAAGAAGCTAGGAATTGCTTAGTTGTAAAAATGGGATTCATTTTAGTTCGATTCACACAAATACTAAACATTTATTCTTGTGTTTTAAAGTCCAAGAATGAAAACTTGCAATTAAACACTGAGCAAGCCATGTGTTCAGGTTATGTTGGTTTCTTATCTTAAAAAGCCTTAAAGAAAAAAAGGGATACAGGACTTATATTCTCAGTAGCATATGTGCTATTATCAACACATCTTTCTGAACTCTGGGAGGAAACACCAGTCCTGAATTAAATTTTATAAAAAAAAAATTTCTAACTCAACTTTATATTTTTCTACGCCACTACAGCTTTCTTTCACCTCATTTTAAAGCAGATCTTCAGTTTAAGCTGTCTTCCACTGTCTTCACAGACTCTTCATGTAGTAGTCCTATAATGCAAAATTTTGGGAGAACAGACGATTAGACAGCATTAGGAGCATTTTGTTTACCATTCCTATACACTCGCCCAGTTGTTAGCTGTCATCTTAACTCTACAAAAACATCACCATTGAACATGACTGGCTTTAGAAGCAATGATGTAGCATTAATGGTTTAATATCAACATTAAATGTTTTAAGACTTCTGAGCATACATAATGCAACTACAGTAACAAATTATGTTGCAAGAAGCTCATTTATCAGCTGTCATCTCCACTGTTAGTTTCTTATTTCAGGAATACAACTAAAGACCTTCTGTAAGAAAGCTATGTCAAGAGTGGGGAAAAAACTTCAAGTTGTCCTTTCAATACATATTGTAATTGCCTATTGCTTAGCTGCTTCATTTCCCACAAACAGTTTCCAGCATACATTCCTGCCATCAACACTGTCATCATTTGGTGGCATCTGTATCCACATTTACATCTGCCTTACAAGCCTGTTACCAGGCATTCCACTGCTCTGTGCTATGGCTGACTGCAAAGTCTCCTACACAGTAGGAAATATTAAGCACATACCTCTTAAAGACTTGAATTGCATTGAAAGTAACAAGGCGAATATTATGTAGTGTTTATTGCATTTTAAACTCTTTAAAGATATCTAATTCTGGGCAGCACTGCATCCCTACACACAGTTGAAAGAAAATTCCATTCTGTTAACATCAGATTTACAGTATTCACACAATACACAAAAAGTCCTTTTCACTAGCTTCAAAATCAAAAACACAACAGTAAGCTTAAAGATTACAGGCAACAGCATTCAAACATGGATGTGGGTAGAGAAAGGAGTACCTGGCATGAGTACCTGCTTAGTTTGACTGAATCCTTGATTTTTAATTTGGCTTTTCATGGGCCGCTCACAACACCAACGCTGTGTGAGGTATGGTAGTCAGCTGCAATAATTCATAAACCCTACACTTCCATCAATCCAATGCTACTGGCTCTCGAGTTACAGAACAAACTGCATTAGAATGCAAGGCAATAAAGCAAAAAAACTAGAAACATCCTTGACAAAGAAATACTAGCAGTTTATATGAAAACAAAGTAGTCCAACATGTGCCTCAAATATTAAGTATTTAAGCAAAAGTTTCTGCTGATGTATCAACACAATATGGACTTAAATACAAAACCAGTTCAATCTTTTTTAAAAAAAGATAACAAAATCCCTAAAAATAAAAAAAGATAATTAATTTTTCTATGGTGACTATATTACAAATATGTCCCAAAGAGGCACACTAATGGGGGCACGAGTCTGCTACAAAATAGCTGAGACAAAACAATGTACCTCAAAATGTTTTGCAGGACTACACTGTCATTTCCTTCAGAAGTTTGTCTTCTTACTTGACTTAGTTCCATCTTCATCTGTGCATACTTACGCTGCACTGTTAAACAGTAACAAAAAGCCCTAATCAAAGTTTGAAATAATGCACTTACCTCTGTCTGATCTGAGGTCTTATCAGATCAGTTTTAATTGGACTGAGTGTCACCTTCAGATTTTATGTCTTCATTGGTCCCATTGACCTCATTCTTAGTCTCACTCTCCTTCGAGTCTGTATTTGTGTCTTCACTCTGTTTTTCTCGACTACTGGACTTCACACTACTTTTTTTATCATCAGATCCCCTCTTTTCTGCCATGAAAGAAGACATTGACCATGGATTTCAAAGTAAAAACAAACATTGTACATGTGAGATATATATTGCATACAACATGGGACAATTACTTTCAATAGCAATAACAGTAATACTCAAGAAGTTACAGAAATAAGCTTCAGACTACCATGCTAGAATGGAGAGGGGACAAAATAAAGGTAGAAGGGGACAGTAAAGGGTGGGGGAAGAGGAGAAAGGTCAGACCTAACAGAGGCAGCTACTCAGCTCTCTGTCAAAATGAACAAACTGGGAGTAAAGAGGTTAGGGCAAATGTGTAATTATGGTGCATGGCTTCCTTACTTATTATGGAACACTTCTGGTCCCCAAGTTGTGATTTCTGATTGTGTATGGCTTGCTTTGGTTTTTAATTCTCATTAATTATGGTTCTTGAAAGAGAATCAGAAAAGAGTGGTGGGACAATGCTTGACTGAATAATCAAAGAAATTGACACTTGCCAATTAAAAACTAGCAATCTCAAACTATCAAATGCTTTGGAAACAATATCAAGCACTGACAGCTTTGAAGGTGGAGATCAGTGACAACCAAAGCTAAATTTGAAGCTGTACATTTGTCAGCGTTAATTCTCAATTTTATAAAAACAGCAGTCATTTATAACCAACTCATTAGAAGGGCCTGGGGAGACAGCTTGGAAGATATATAAAAAGTAATTTTTTTTCCAAAGGCAAAGAAACAGTAAGATGTGGGGGAAGGAGCCCACAATTTCATCATGAATTGAGAAGCTCACTGAACCATTTACTACACTAAAAACTCAATCTTCAAAGAAGGAAGGAAGGAAGCCAGAAATAAAAATATTTCCATGGGAAGAAAAACATTCAGTATTAGAGCTGCGTGCCTCATCTGTAAATTCAGTATTTGCAAATTTAATAAAAATACCAATTCCTGTTGTATTATTTCACACCGTAATATTCAACTCTTGATCAGTAAAGACACTCTGGAGAGAAAAAAAAATCCAAAAAACCAACCTCTCAGATGTCATCATACAGAACAACATTCATGCTCTTTTTTCTGATTATTCCCTGCTATCCGAGCAATCAAAATAAACAATATAAATAGACAGATATATCCCCAACACAGGAACACACAGATTGAGCACTCTGAAAAAGCTATTTTAAATAACATTATCACCTAGACTGGCATAATACACTTTCATATTCCAGGAAACAAAGCAAGAAATTAAGCTTTAAAAGAGCAGCGATATCCCAACTTCTTTGTTTTATAACACACTACCAAAGGATAGGGTAAAGCCCTCACAGAGAAATGAGGGCAACTGCCTAATGCCACCAGTAGTGAGGATTCACCTGCAGCAGCACATCCAGTGCAGTGTGCTTGGAGAAAGCACGTGGCAATGTCACCCAGCTCACTGAAGGACTGAGTCACTCTGGCTCTGTCTGCCCTCGATTGGCCAACTCCGCAGGTAGATTGCACTCTAACTAACCTTGTTAACAAGTCTTCTTTTTGTGTCTTAAAGGTATCTCCGGTGCACACGTGGATCCACTGAGGAATAGTAGTCTTGTTTCCCCGCAGAGGACTAGTAGTCAGTCCAATAATCTTATCTTCTGTCCTATGTAGATATGGTAGATCTTAATAGCCCTATGGATGTGCAGTGTGCAGGGTTTTGTTCTGTCTTGTTTGTGTCTTGAATGTGGTTCAGGAAGGATAATTTTGTTTAAGGTTAAAAAAACCTAATAAACTGTGGTATGAAAGATCAAACTCTTCTTTCAGTATTAAAGTAGGTTTACCATAGCAAACCTCTAGTTTGCCAAGCAGAACTGAAAAAGTGTACTCAACAAATAGCCCAATAACTTTTAAACCCCTAGAGTATCTGCAAGAAGCTCCTCCACTGTATTTTTAATCAGTAAGAGAAAAAGCACATAAAATTAGTTTGCTGTTGAAACTGGGTGTATTATTTCAGCTGTGATCTATTAAGTATAATCACATAATACTGACTTTTCTTCCTGATTAAACACATGCACATTTTTCTGATTGAGTTTGTGTGGGCAACTGAGATGTGTTTTGTGAGAATTCCTATCACGACAAAGTGAATTGCTTTACTGTTCAGAAAATCAAACATAATATCCATTATTACTGAGGTGTTCTGGCAGTATTTGCTGAGGTTTAATCACTAACATTAAAACATGATAATTATTTTTATATAAGTACCAGAATCCAGATTAGGGAAGATAGAGAGCCAAGCCAAAGAAGTCTAGAGGCCCATTCCAGTATTAACCCTTCATAAAATGAAGGTCTTTGGAAAATAATTTTTCTTTTATTAAAACCCCCTATTTATTCTATCTGCTCTGAAGTTTGTTAACTTGAACAGCAGGTGCATTCTACTGGTTTATATTAAGCTAATGCTCAGCTGGTGTTTATGGCTGGTGGCTCCTTTCTTTAGTAAAGGTATCCCTGACTGTAAAATCACAAATCAAGTGCCCCCATTTTTATATGTTTATGTTTTTCTTATAACCTTGGTTGCTGCCTTCTAAGCATCTTAGTGAACAAAAAGCCAGGACTTCTGAATTTTCAAAGTGTGGCACTAATTTAATGTGCAACTGTTCCTTGAGGTTTCTTGGTGTTAATATTCATGTTTCTTAAGCAGTCTGAGACTTCCAGATAAAAGGAACTACCATGAGTAGTTACAGCCTTTTCTCCTTACTTTTACAACTGCAGATCAGTGATGGCTATAAAGACAAGTAGATTCTGAAGCCAAGATTCTCAATGTAGTAAGTTAAGATTTAACTTCTAAGTTACTACTGTGCAAAAGCCACAAAATTCAAATATGTGAATCTCTAAAGCTTTATTCTTAACCTACAGTGCCACATTGCAAATATGAAGATGCAATGGTGCTTACAGCTTCAGCACAGAAATTCAGTGTTGCCTTATTAATTGATATTGGGTTTGGTTTTTCCTTCCTCCCCTCCTCTTTTATATATTTTTTCTATTAAAATATTTTCCCAACAAAGGGAAAATCACAAACTTCTTTAGCATTACAGTCCTGCTCTAAGGCCTATTTGTGTTTTTACAAATGTTAGGATGGCACAGTCAAAAAAAGTAATTGATTTTCCCAGGTGGGATTTTCATCGCAGCTCATAGCATCACCTCACTGTTCTCATTTCTGGTGGAAGAAAGTAGCAAGCAGCAAATAAAACAGCCAGCAAGGAAATCAGTCAAGTTAAAACTAAAAATACTTGAGATGCTGAAGAAAGTTCACTAGCTCCTCTGTTTATGGGAAGATTAAGGAAAGAACTGAAAAGCTCAAAACCAGACCAAATTTGAATAAATAAGAAAACAGTTATTTATATGCATAGATACACACATTCAGGAGAACAGGACATTCTTGACCACGTACCAGAAATCTATTTATAAAGCAGGCAAAAAAGGCACAGTATCAGGTAGGAACAGTAATAAATGGACAGATACAGGTACAACACTGAACCCCAGTTTAAAGCCTGCACATCATTTCCACTGCCAACGAGCAAGCAACAAAACCCACTCTTTTATATGGCAAAGGAAAATGAGAGAAGAATCAATACTAAAGGTGCCCCACAGTATAAACCAAGTAATTGAAACAGTCCAAGGAAGTCAGGGAAGAGAAATACATGAAGCATTACCAACATTTTGGCAACCAATCCACTGGATAAATATGGAGAAGGGTCAAGCAGACAGGCCTATGCAACCCAGACACATGCACAGAGCACCTTTCATTCCAGAAAACCTCAAAAGTACCTTAGAAACACAATTGTTTCATCCATTACTGATGATCAGCCCTTGAAGTGGGGTGGCTGTTTCGGACTGGCCATTAGTCAGCTCCCCACCAGAGCCAGAAGCATTACGTTCCTACAGAAGTTCCAGAAGACTTTTAAAGGGGGAAATTTAGCAGTAACAGTGAATTAGTATCTTCTCACAAAATGTCAATCTACGGTGTTCTCACTGTAGCTCTCTGTAACCCTACTTAAAAGTTTCTGAGCTTCAGCCTCTGGTGAAGCAGTGAGTCCCCATGAACGCTGTGGTACATGGCATGTACAGCTACAAAACTGTCCCAAGAACTAACACAGCTTTCTGCTGAGACTCACCTGAATACTGACAAAGCAAAACTCACTTCGTTTAAACAACAAACAAAAAAACCAAACCAAAAAAAAAGTGAGAAAGGTGGGAGGGAAGAGCAGGAGACTCGGGAGAAGGCATAAATTGTCATTTAGAGCATTTTGCAATATTTATCTTTGACTGCATTTATAGATCGGGAAAAAAACTTAACAGCACTGTTAAAAGGATAATAAAGGAAACATGATAGTGTTGAGAAGTAATAGATGGTACAGGTGAGAAGCCAAGCACCAATCTCCCACAAAACATGTACCTGCAAATATCCACTAAGAGTAAGAATAGAAGACATTCATTAGGAAATGATGATTACAGGCTTATGTTTTTCTAAAGGTAAAGAGGTCCTAAAATATATAAAAATCCTTGCATGCTTCATCTGCAGACGAAGTACAACAGGTAAGAGAAGGGCACTGGGGTGTAGGTATGCACACACGTGCAGTAATGGCAACTGGAAAGAACAAAACGCTTCAAATTGCTTCCAGCAACACACAGCTTTCAGAACCAGATCTGACTTGGTACTAAGAACTTTCAGTCATTCTTTGAAAAGCTACCAGCTTTTGAGACTCTAAGAAAAGATTCGTTTCAGAACTTGCTAAGAACTCAGTCTTTATACAAACATACCTTTTTCTTTTGACTTCCTGTCTTGTTCTCTCTCTCTGCTTTTGCTTCTGTGCTTGTAGGATTTCCGATCCCGGCTTTTTGACCGTCTCCTGTCCCTACTCCGAGACCTGTGTTTCCTTTCTGATCTATCATGGCTTCTGCTTCTCCTCCGGTCACGACTCCTTAACATTCAGAGACAATTTCAAAAACGTGTATCTCAGCTGCCATTTTCTAACTCAGAATATAAAACAGTTGAACAGTAGCACTTTTAAATACAGTGATTATCTGCAGAAACCAAGTCTTAACATATTGCATATAAATATTTCCCAGTACGTAAGAGCTGGTTCCATATTGCTTTCTTCATTTACTGAAACACTTTAATACACAGCTTAGAAATATCTACCACCATGAAATAAAGACCAACTGAAGGAAGATACAAGACCCTACTTTTTGGAAGCATTCTTTGTCTGCTGAAAGTTCCCTCATAAAGCCACTTCCACCACTACGGTGTCATCTTCCAAAATTGGAGAGAAGACAGTGACACTCAGCAAAAACTTGCTTATCCCTAGAACCAATAAGGTGTGTCTTCACTTAAGAAGCAAGACTGAAGTGAAGCTAACAAATCAGTGCTATGACTCAGGCTGACAAATCAAGTCCCCACAAGAATTTTACCTTTTGGAAAATTACATGAAATTACTTAAGGGACACACGGACACACACACAGGTACCTGCTTCGCCTTCTTTCTCTGCTTCTTGACCTTTTGTGGTCTCGTGAGCGGCTGCACCTCCTGTCAGAGGTCCTGCTGGAATGGCGGCTCCGTGAGCGGCTCCGTTTGCGCCTCTCCCTGTCACGAGCCCTCTCCTTTTCCTTTTCTTCCTCCTCACGTCGTCTCTTCCTTTCCCGCTCTTCTCTTTCCCTCTCCCTCTCTTTCTCTCTCTCTTCCCGTTCTAGCTTCTCTTTTTTCAACCTTTCATCACGGTCAGGCTCTTCTGTTCTTTTTCGTAACTTTTCCTAAAAAAAAAAAGTTCACAGGAAGAAATGAAGATTTCTCAAGATACTTAAGTTTATAGATTCTGAGGATGTAAAAGCCTAAACTTTTAAAATAGTTCAGTGTTATTTTCTAAACAAAGGACAGTGCTTCCTAAAATCCCTGAAATGAAAATCCTTTGTCTTGCAGAACCTTTTTTTGCTTGTCACTCTCACAAGAACAGAGGCCATACTACATTTCTTTAAAAGTCCCCACTGACTTGACATCTTTGCTTGTATCTAACATCACAACAAATTACATCAGTGAAAGCACAGTGCAGGATTCCATTTCTTGGAGTGTTTCACCCTCTTGAGAAAATCCACTGGACAGTCTTTTATGTACATTAGGAAGCCTCCAAGCAGTTTTCATTTCAGTAACTGGAAGAAATACTTACTTTTAAATCTTCTACAGTAGCTTTTATTTTGGCATAACCCATGTGCTGTTTTCCCATCAAGTGGTCATCTACCCTGGACTGTGCATCTCCTACAATTAAAAAGGCTCCACAAACTTCACAAACTTCCATTTGTTTTTCCTGGGCTGCAAAGCTCTCAATTGTCTGAAAAAGAAGAATATTCAGTAAGGCAAAAGAAAAGTTTTAGTCAGTGGTTTAGAACTCTGTTACTGTTGTCAAATCCCAGGCTCTACTGAAAGCTGAAATCACATCTGCCTGCTTTACCTTTGAAGGACTGCACCCCATCACAGTAAACGGGGAGAAGAGAGGCCACCCTATGCCCATTCCCACATTGAAGGGGTCCATGGGAAACTACAGAAACACTACTCACTGCATTAACATGTACATAGTCATATCTGCAGCTTCCTTGCACTATCAGAAAAATTGAAGAAGTTTTTCTTTTAAAGTTTTCTTTTTCAGTTTTAAGATTTCTTTGGCACCAATAAAAATGTCAGGAGCTGCAGAACTACTATGGAATATACCTCAAGGAATCTAAAGGCTAGAATACCTCATAAAAAACCCAAAAATAAATATGGCTTCTATTTAAAAGTTTGGTGGTCAAATTAAACCACTGTTTCAACAGACATATGAGAAGTACACTGAAATTTCAACATAAACCCAGGTGATTATTGCTGTGCAATGTTCATGAATCATACTGTATGGACATAAACACGCTGCGTTCAACATTTAAGAGTTCTTAAAAAATAAAACAAGAATCTCAATTTGAGCATTTCATTAAACACTAAAACAAAATCTTTAAATTTAAGCTCCTTTTTATGAACAAGAACTTAATAATTAATACATTCCCTCTGGCTTCTGTAGCTCTCTTAGAGTCAGACTGATGCCTGTCTCCAGTCACAGCCCTGACCCAAGGCCATTCTGTAGCAGTCACACTGGTAGTTCAGTAGAATTATATTGCAGAGGCTACAGGGCAAAGTTTAACTGGCACCTAAACTAGAGGATGGTGCAAGCTCTCCTCCAGGACTGCTGGGTGAATAATGTCATAATTTGTGTGCTGGAAACCCACTTTCAAGGTAAAATGCCTGATCAACACACTGGATTAACACAACCAAATGTCCTGTTACTATGTAATAAATTCTGCACTGACCTTGCATGCCTTCAGTGGAAGGACAAGGTTATTCAGAATGTACTGTGCACCAAATTTTGATATGTCTCAGAGAGCTACAAACACATTACTTACTGAAGTTGTAGACCTCAGCAGTTCTCTCTCTTCCTTTAACTGTTCAACGAGTTTCATCATTCCTTGTGCTTCTTCCACCTTTCCTTCTGAACCCAGTTCTTCAATCTAAAAGGCAATTAAAAAATTGAAGTTTAATTTCTCATCAAGTAACAAAAGCAAGAGATCTCTCTTATGGGGGTTAAAAATCCCTCACCTGTTGAAGCAGTACATCAATTTTGTCAGTTAACACCTGAATCTTCTCCTCGTTTTTACCGGTAGGGCCTGCTCCCTGCAAAAAGCAGAAGAGTGAGTTGAGGCTTTTTTCTTTTCTTGTTGGGTTTTTTCTTCTTTTGTTAAAATAGCTTAAACACACAAATGTATATCTTCTCATATTCCAGAGATGCTCTGGGAATAACCTCCCCCTGGCGTCTTCTCCCATGAGAAGCTACTAATAACAGTCCAGTCTAATATAAAACACTTCTCAACACAATCTACTCCACCCTTGTTTAGTCTAGTCACTAATTCCTCCCAAATCAACAAAAATGTTCAAGGTCATGGCCCATAAAAGGTAAGAAAATTGCATTCAAAGTCCTGTTGGAGTTAGTAAGTTAGGAGTTCTAACCTCACAAAGTCCTAACTTTAAATGCTGACACTCCCATGCAGCTATTACCTATCTTTGCAGATATTCAAGTATGACTTTGAAGTTCTGTGGGCTTTGAATTTCAAATTGAGTGTAAAGTGTGAAAAGAATCTCACTTCAAAGATGTATTTGTTAGCAGTGTCTCTCTGCAGGCTGCCAGAATAGACTTATTGCTGCCCTCCCACCTCTGCTCTGCTTCACAAGTGGTATCTCTCGACTGGATATTGTCCACAGCTCCTTCTGAAGCAACTGGACTTTGTACAGAACAGCGAGGTGGGGCAGCAGAAAGGAGCAGTTTTCTTAGTCCTGGCAGTAACAAAACTCACAGAGCACTGGCCACAGTCACTGCTCCAAATCCATCAGGGGATAAGATACAGCTTGCTAGTGCAGGGAAGCAGGGATGTGCAACTAGTGGAGAGAAGGTAACCTGAGGTTGTGAGGGTAGACACACCTGACAGGTAGAGAACAGATACTTATTCTGAGGAAACAAGAGACAGTGAGAACAGAGAGAGCTCCTGCTGACTGTGGAGTCACCTGGCTCGTCCATTAGTGCCAGATGTGATCTGCTGGCTAACAGATGAAAAATCTTATTGATCAGGAATCTTATGGATAACAGTAAGTTTTACCTGAACAGACAAGACCCTGAAGATGCTATCTACAGGAAAAGCTGCCTCAATGACTCTTGCAGACTCACCCCGGAAGACTGCTGGTTCTGTGACAGTGCCAAACGAGCATGGCCCCTCCGGATCCTGCGCTCCACCTCTGCAAGCAGGCTCTGCAAATAGCGCAGGAAGTCTCTCTCATAGCCCACCTTCATAAATCGAGAGCTCTTCTCATACCTGAGACAGGATTTTCAAAATGAGAGCTCACATCAATCCATAATAGACAAAAACTAAGTAACAAGACAGACAGTATTAAAAATTCTTGCTCACAGTAAGAAAATAGAATATATTTAAAGAAGGAAATTTTAATTTAAATGAAAACTTGAATAAATTTATGCAAATAAAAAGAGAAAGTAATTTGTAATCTTTGAGTTGCTACTAACAAATTTCAAAGATACAAGAAACTCTATTTGCTTTAACACACCAAACAACAAACTTACTGTTTGCGCAGATTTTCATCGTGAATTTTTTCACAAGGACCTAAGAAGACAACACAAAAAGCTTAAGTTTGCATTCCTAAATGTTGTATTCCTATTCCACCAGCATTTGTTTGTGTATCACGACAGAAGAGGGTTATAAACAGTTCACAAGGACTTTTATCTTTCTGCCTTTCTGCTTCCTTTGCTTGGAGCTTGAAAGATACATTAAAGAAAAAGAATACCAACATCATTTAGTAATTATAAAACCAAAAGAGACTCTACATATGAAGTCTTCATAAAAATAGAATTTCCAGACCAAGTTCACATCAGTAAATACAAAGAAGCAATGTAGTATCCTAAACATCTGGGGCTTAAAAAAACACCAAACAGAAAACTATATATGAATGGTAATTTCATCAGGCACTTTCTTATTTCCAGGGTTTTCTGCAACACACTGGCTACTTAAAACATAGATCTTTAGAATAAATTAGGAGGTATATGCTCTGAGTTCATGGAGGTGGCTGTGCTAAAATTCCTCACCTTCCCCAGACTCTCAAACTCTTCAACAGACTTAGAAACTAAGACAAAAAGTCTGGTTTTGCTAAGTTACCATCTCCAAACTACATGCCACATGTAGCCATCACTTGAAAACCACCAGTAGTTCAGAGCTGATCTTCAAAAATAATTATTACAGTAAGTGAGTCTCTAAAATAAAAAAGCTCAGTAATGTAGACTCACACAAAAATAGGTCAAATCCCTGCCCAGGAAGAATAATCCAAACTAGAAACTGACACCTGAGCAGGAGAAAAGCACCCCACATTCAGTAATTTAGCTTACACAATAAGAAAAAAATGTTAAGAAGTTTTTCCATTTAGATAAAGCAGGATCTGGAATAAATATTATTTTTGGCACATTGTATCACTAGCACCCTTGAAATGACAAAAAAAAAAATCAGAATATTTTGACAGAACAATTAACAATAAAACCATAGTTTGCAAACAAAAGCACAACTGTAACTACTATACTAAGTGAATAAAAACTTCATGACTTGTAAACTTACCTAAATCAGAACGGGTATTTGTAAATAACTCAGCTGGGCAAAAGCCACAAAGGTAGTATTTGCAAACCTGACAGAGAAGAAAGAAATAGGCATCATTTTTTGCCTCTTGAATTGAAAATTTTATAAAAGCATTTTAATTTCTAAACCACAGTGATAAAGCTTCCTTTGAACATAGTAAAATTCCTGAAAGTTTTACACACCCTCTATATTTCTTGGCAGCACTAAGTGCTAAAAGATGCATCTTGATGACAAAACACCGAAAATCTTACTTTTCCTTGCAATATTAATAGCTCTTAATTTTACCACTAAATATTTAAGATTAGAGGAAAGTACCATCAATTTATAAATATTTAATATTTCCAGAGGAAAGGAATGAAGTCATATTGGACTAATTAATAAGTTTCAGTGAAATTCTTAACCTTGAAAAGCCACAAGTGGTGAGAACAATTGCCATGGAAGCACGGAACAAGTTCCTCTGCTTGCCTGGGACAACTTCACTTCCTCAGAGCTCCTGGCCTGGACAACTGGAGCCACCTGCACTCAAACATCAGGTACTGCCCCAAGGACTCTGATGGCAATTCAAAGACTGAGATTTATCCAGAAGCTTTCCCACTCCAATGCTTTTACAATCCCCTACTTTAAGAATGACAGGCAACAAGACATTCATTTTAACATGGTTTCCTACAAAGGGTTTGGTTTGGTTTGTTTCTGCACACTCTGGTTTTACATTATTGAGTCACGCTCTTTTTCTGGTAACACAAAAAGACCACCAGAAAGTTCAAAAAACCACAAACCTGTTACTCTAGTCAGTAAATACCCAACACATGATGGGATAAAACCAGCTTTTTTTAAAAAGATTATTCACTCTCACCCATGATCTTAGCTAGTCAAGTTGGTCAGTTCCTGAAGTTCATAACACACAAATATCTCCTGTCCATCCATCAGAACAGCCATAAGGGTAGAATCAGAAATACTTTCATTCCCAACTCCATAAACAATCTTAACTAATTAACTTTTCACTAGACCCTTCACACAGATGTGACTGCCATTAATTAAGGTATAAATCCAAAACTAGCCTGGACATTCTTCCAGCATTTCCTTTACGTTACACCAGGTTCTAATTTTTGGCAAATCTGGTAACTGTGACTGCATTACAGCCTAGCCCTAATCCTCTCACATGTCCTGTGGACAAACTCCTGCAGTGTCTTATCTCCCAAGACACAGACTGAAGTACGTGAAGAAAGAGGGGTGAGGAGAGAGGCTCCAAACACCATCACCTCACTAAAAAGCCTGTGATACCCATTGGTCAAAATAGATCAGCTTGATTTTTTCCAAGCTAACTGCCAGACTGCAAATCAGGCTATGGAAGTTAAAACTCTACTGACTGCTTTACAGATTACTCAGAAAAACAATCAGGCTTTCTATTAACAAACTATGGACAAGAAGTACAAAAAAATAAATCTCTTATTATGCAATTTGAATACTTCTCCCATGATCCAGGTTTGGACACTGGTACCTATCTGAAGCAATTTAGCAAGAATAGTTAAAAAAACGTGTGAAACATGAAATTTTTTTTTTTCTTCTCAGACAGAAGGAGAAAGTTACTGGACAAAATCTGGTTTCAGAATCTGCTCTTCTCTGAAAGCTGCAATATTCCTTGTTTTACTACAAAGTTGCTTCAAAGGAGCAGTTTCTGGCATGAATTTCTGTACTAGTCCATAAAAATAATTTCTCTATACATTCTCTTCTTCTTCCATTTTCTCATACTCACATCCAGGTATAAGGATCAGTGGAAAGATACTTCCCAAAAAATTTCAGAGATGGATTAGACAATTTCCTAAGACACAGAGAGCACAGTAATGACAGTCTGACCATACCATACTGTTAAAAGGGCTGTAGAATATCTTCTATCAACCAAAAAATTAGGCAAACTGGCCTGTAATAGTTTAGAAACTAGTAATAACAAAAGAAGCAAAGGAAAAGTAATTAGAAGTATAATGAACAAAAAAACCCACCCTCAATGAAAGCCAAAACTGTAATTATTATGAAATACCATTACTGGGAAAATCCTCTTTTTATAAACTGATGGTTACAGCCAAAAGTTGCAGTAACTAATACTAAAATATGAGGTTTAAGCATGCCATACACTGTATTAATATTTATATATATTAAAAATCCCAAACACAAGTCATATCAAACAAATTTAAACCCAAAATAATGACAAAACAGACACACACACACCAAAAAGCTGCCATAATCTTCTCCTACCAGCTCTAGATGCTGCCACTCTAGCACTAGCATGGCACTCAGTGAATGACCTGACATTCCCTCCTAGGAAGCAGCCTGCAGAGAAATACTCACTTCAGAGTGGTTCCAACCACTGTGGCTGAAGCGATTTTCTTCCCCTCTCACACCTATTTCATGATGCTCTTCAGCTGAGTTTGCTTCAACAGGAAAACACAACTTGCTGGAATCCTGCAGAATCTTGCAGGTATCATTCCAGCTCAGCTTCACTGAGTGCAACATCTGCCTTTCCAGGCTGAATATCTGCACCTCCCATCAATCCAAACTAATCCATGGTGAGTGGGAACAGTAAGGACCAAGGAATGGCTTAAGGATCACAGAACCATTAAAGGATTGGAACAGAGGTGAGTGATCAGTTGGCATCACTCACCCACGGGTTATCAGGCTGCTGCTCTAATCACAATATGCAAACACATCCCATAACAGGCAGTTTGGCAGGCATAATTCCCTATGCAGGTAACGAGCATTTATTCCTTTCTGCAGAACCGTTTTGCAGAATCTGACAACTCTGCTAGCGAGAAGGTGCAACATGAAAGTGTCACTGTCGAACTGAAGCTGCAGGATAAGCCACAGCTTGGGTCTCAAGGTCCCTGAGTGCTCACATTGTGATAAGACACTACAACAAACAGGGATGCTTGGAACTTTCCACTTCTTCATCACAAATTCACTAATCCCTGAAATCTCTAGGAGATGGGAAAGTCGTATCCTTCACATCCAAGTCCACTAAGTTAACAGCAAAAATTCCAAGCTCAATTGGAGCTTGGGAAGCAGCTCAAAGCTTTCCCATATAAAGAAGCTATTGACAGCTCTGTATTGTTAATGCTTCTACATTAACATGATCCTCTTCTGCAAGAAATTTATTTACTGAGAAGAATTTATTTACTGGAGAAGTATCTCTCTAACAGTAATAAACAATTACAAAAGCAAATTCCTTTGGGGAGACAATTCCTAGTAAAAACACTGAGAATAAAATCCAGCAGTGTGGCTTGCACATCAAAAACTAGTAAATTCTTTCTCATAGCTGAGTTCTTTGAATCCATCAAAGCTCACACGCAGCAGACATTTTAAGAGCAATGCCCGCCCACTCAAACCCAAACAAACATCAGCCTTCTCCCAACCCACTCTTAAAGATAAACGTTACTTGTTTTTGGAAGAGTATTAGTAATGGAAGGTTAAGTCCTCTCCCTTCGTCCCCTGGAGGATTAAGTCCTTAAATTCTACCTAGATACAAAGCAATTTAAGGTCGCTGGCATTATAAAAGTAAAAGCACAACACATCATAAATAGCTAAAACCATCCCATCATACTCTGAATACAAACCTACATTATGAGAAAATGAATTATCAGAGATGATTGCTCACAGCCATTCGTCTCTAACAGCTCTTCACCCCTCTCCACTTTCTGAAAAACCTGAGTTTTCCTAGAAAAAGCATCAAAATTTCAAAGCTTACAGGAGCATGGGCAGCCCTTGCTGGGGTGCCTCAGAACTCTAATGCAATCGCTATTCCCATAAGAACTGGCTTTGTGCAGGTAGCATATTAAAGCAGGAAGGTGTGAATCAATAAAGAAAAATATAAAACATATAAAGATATGCTAGTAAGCAGAAAGATTAAAATATATGATACTAATAATTTCTTCCTGCACAGAAAACAAAGCCTTTTTGCCAAAACCAGACTGATCACCTAAGGACATGCCATCATACTGAAATATACCACAAGTGGGATTCCAATTTTTAAAGACTAAAGGTTTTAATCATGTTGAAGTTTTCAAGTAAGAACTTAAACTCTACAAAAGCTTTTATAATATATGATCGACATATTTCATTGGCACTGCAAATAAATCACACACTGAGCTATCACACCCTCTGCTTCCACACTTTGCACTTCCACCTTGGATTTCACTGCACCCCCAGTTTCTGATAGCCACGTGGATGCAATCTCCAAATGATAAGCAAAATACAGATGAGCTTCTTGTGATAATCTTCCACATTCAAAACTGATGAAATGTGACTTTGGGATCAATACAACATGCTGGCATTGAGCAGGCTGCATGCTGATCTATGCCTAATCTCAAAAGAAATTACATTAGCACATGCATTTCACCTGTAAAGCAGGTCAGCAGGCAGAGGAATTAACGGTACCATTTGAACCTTATCTGCATTTCCTATCTTTTAAAACATGTCAGCACTGCAAATTTAATCTTTAGGTGACAAAGAAAGCCAAACTGAGACACGTGTTTAACAGCAGTAATTGTTGGGTTTTATGAACTCATCAGTTGACTACAGAAACCCAGGAAAACCTTCTTTGCAGAAAGGTTGTATTTAATCACAAATTAAAGCAGAAGCAGAGCAAACAGCAGCAGATCCTACATGACTGAAGGCTCAACCCTAAGCCTGTAACTTTGCCACTGCTCTCAGACACTCTCACTCAGGACAGCTCTCACTTTCGGAACTGTCAGAGAACTGGGAAGGAGAGACAAGGCCCTGCTTCTAAAACAACAAAAATGAACAGCTTAGAGACAGAGTCCTTTGGCTACGGTCAAACTCTTTGGCCTAAAGTGTAAAGAAAATCTGAAAATATTCTATGATTTTCTCATTTGAAGATGAAGAAAGTAATCTGAATTTATTAGAAGTAAATGATGGGGAAAACAAAAACCAACTAAGAAAGTAAGTCTTTCTCACCTTAAGGAATAAACCAAACCAAACCAATCCCCTTATTTTTCTATCTGGACCAATAGGGCTCAAGCTATTCACCTCGTATTTCACATATTTCATCTAACTCCTCCTAATTTTAAATTCACAATCAAAGGAAAATATCTAACTGAACACCTAACTGAATTATTCTCTTAATAAAGTAAGTCTAGAAACACATAAACAAGGTCATGAAAACTTCCTTAACTCACAATTTCTTCCTGATCTGACTGCTTACCTATAGAGCAGCGTTTTTCAAGGGAGGGAATAGTTCCTCATATTTGAAAAATCTAAGATAATTAGGTATTGGTCCTAAGGTCATGCAAACTCAACCAATTCAAACAAGTATTATTCTTCTTTAAAATTACCTAAATCCCATATAAAAACATGAAATCATGTCTTTGATTAAGATGCAAACTCAAAGCCAAACTCAGGCATTTCTCCCTCCTCCCAAAAAAACAACACCCTAAGCAAATACTAAGGGGGGGAGAACTAAACGCTTTGTGCAGCTTAAACCAGAAATTCCTATCACTTAAGTGATAAATTATTGTGATACTTTCTTTTAACATATGCCATAACTAAAAAAAAGGTATAGTGAACAGGAGAAAATAAAATTTAAAAATTCATCAGTGTTCATCTCTCCCAAAGCAGCAGCTATAGGAACTCTGTAGGTACCACCGAGTTTTCCTGAAATAACTAACAATTCAACTATGATCACCAAAACTAAATCATCACTCATTAAAGCTCAACCAGTTGAGAAACCCCAATTAATAATGACAATGACAACGACAGTAACAACAACGTTGTCTTTTTTGGGCTACTTATTGCAGAAAATGAATGAACACCACTTTAACAAAAGTTCGTAACTACTTTTAAACAACAGTTTTGCTTAAGTTAGTGTCCATCCCCCTCTCCCAAGCAGATTCCTCTGAGTGAGGAAATATGGAAAAAAAATCAAGCTTTTCTTAACGAAATCCCCACTTTCCGAAATCTTAATGTTTTTCCTTGTAGTACAACCTCCAGATATTAAAGTCGGTATCTGCGTGGCCTTCTTCTTCCTCCCCCAACACCACCCTCAGGAGCACATCCAGAGACATTTATCTACCAAACTAGAACATCTGCCTCATTCCCCTTCGTGCGAATCAGCAGTTTATACTCAGAAGTGTTGAATTCCTTGTGTTGAAACCGCCCCACCTTATTTTTGTGTTTCCCTACGGGTAACCTCCGCCACCACAGCCCTCTGGAAACCCCCGTTCGCGTTAACGGCGGCCCCGGCGGGCACAGCCTTCCCCCGCAGACACCCAAACACCGGGGCTGTCCCTCCTGCAGCCCGGCTGTGTTGGGATCTTCCTCCTCCTCCTCCTCGGTGAGGCTCGGCGCTGTTCCCGCTCATGGCCAGGCCCGGCTCGCCCCAGGCCGCCATGCAGGGCCCAGCACAGAGGGCGCGACCCGCACCCCGACAAACCACGCGGAACCCCCGCTCCGGCCGGCACCTCAGCCCTTCCCTCTTCCCCCTCCCCGCACTTGTCCCCGGCCGAGAGAAGCTGCCCATGTCGCTCCGACAAACCCCCGGCCCGGCGCAGCGTGCGAGAGCAACGAAGGAGGGAGGTGAGAGGCGGCCCCGCTGCACTCACGCTCTCGTGGTCCCACCGCACGTTGCTGCGCTTTTCATCCGGGGCCAGGTTCCTGTCCCGGCCCATGAGCTCATCGAGGAGCTGGGCGGCCGATATCATGGTGAGCTGCGGGCCGAATCCTCCTCTCCAGACACCAGCTCGGCCGCCTCGCCCCGACCGCCCGCGCCGCGCCTGACAGAGACAAAATGGCGGCGGCGGCTGGCCCTGCCCACAATGCACCGCGCGGGCCGAGCCCGCCGCGCTCCGCTCCCTCACGGCGCCGTCGTCCTGCCCGGCCCGGGCCGCCGCGGGCCACACGGACAGGGACGGGCAGTCCCGGGAAACAGCGGAACGCGGAGCCGCCACAGCCGCGTGTGGCTCCCCGTGAGGGGCAGCGGTTGCCGCACAGACGGTGTCATGCCCAGGGAAATGTCATGACCGGTAATGTGCAGCTCCCTGTGGTGTCACTGCAGGCGGTGAACTGTCACGACAGACAGGGTCCGGCCCAGTCAGCCCAGCCCCAGTGCGGTGTCAGAGCTCGGTGACACAGCCCACACACACAGACTGTGCTGGTGGCCTTGCTGGTCATGGCTGCAGGCTGAGGACACGGGCCTGGGCACAGCTGAAGCAGTGTCACGGTCCCCTGTGCATCCTGGCAGGACAAAGTCACCCAAACCGCTCCTGATACACCAGTACTGAGTGCTCCCAGCTGTGCGTGTTCCCGTAGGAATTCAGAGAACTGTAGGATCCTTATGACTGGAAAAGGCCTCTAAGATCATCCAGTCCAACCATCACCACACTCACCAATAAACCATGTCCTCAAGTGCCACATGCACATATTTTGTGAACACTTCCAGGGATGATGACTCCACCACTTCCCTGGAAAGCCTGTCCCCATGCTTGACAGGTGGAGAGAGAATAGAATCCTGCATATGTAACAAAAATCTTACTCTTTGACCTTGGAACCAGCCCATTTTGTTTTCCTTTCTAGATGTGACTTTGAACTTGATATATATTGAATTTCACATAGCAATTGTCAACTATTTCCCAATTACTCAACATCATTTTGAACGTCTAAAGTACATGCAATTAATTAAGATTTGAATTATATTTTTTTAAAAGCTTGAAGCCAGCGTTCATGCTGATCCTGTAAAACCCACTTAGACTGACAGCAACTTTTTTCAGTATCATGCAAGCACCAGTTGTTACCTGAGGAGTTTCCTTTTGGAAATCTCTCCCTAATGCAGCACTGTGAGGCACCACGAACTTCTTTCAAGCTTTGCAATTTTATAATGATTTAAGAACCCAATGGAACGCTCGGAACAGTGTGATTGAAATCAACATAACACAAGTTATGGTATGAATTTTCAGTCAATATGCTGCAGTCTGGCAAAATTTTTACTGACTTCTCTGTAACTTGGTTTAGGACAAATCCACAACGACAAAAACCAGCTTTTCAAACTATGCAAATGGCAGGAATTACCTATAGAAATTACCTATAATCTTTCCAATTGCTTTGCAGACAGATAATGACCTTTATTTTACTTATATTTTTTAGAGATTAGTTGATTCTGTTGAGAATGCACAAAGATGATGGGAGTTTCCTATGCAGGATAAGGGAGAGGATGCTCCATTCCTGGAAGTGTTCAAGGGATGTTCAAGGCTGGATGGGGCTTGGAGCAACCTGGTCAAGTGGAAGGCATCCCTGCCCATGGCAGGGGGTTGGAAACTGGATGAGTGTTATGTTCCTTCCCAACCAAAATCATCATAAATCTTAAAAATCTCTTCAGTACCTCCTCATGCAGTTACCAGGCAAACCTAGTTTTTCTGAATCCCTCTATTTAGCCTCTTTAGCAGCAGGATTTTGCACAACAGTGGTTATCATAAAGTTCTTCTTTCCTTGAGTAAAACCACTGGATAAAATTACTCTTAATTAAATTACCACAGACACTCAGTGAGCTAGAAATATGGCCCACCCCTGGAAGTGTCCAATGCCAGGCTGGACGTGGCCTTTAAATAACCTGATTTAGTTAAAAGCGTCCCTGCCCATGGCAGGAGGGTGGAACGAGATGCTCTTCAAGGTCCCTCCCAACACTTAATACAATTCACTCTGATAAATCGAGAGCCCGCAAAAACAACCAGCAGAGCAGGAGACAGCGCGCAGCCCGCGTTTCTGCATCCATGAAAGCACATGCAGCGGGCGCTGCCCCGTCGGCGCGGCCGCGCCCCGGAACCGGCTGTGGGGGCCGCGTTGTCACCGGCAATAGCGTCCCCCGCTCCGCAGCACGGCGGGGGTGGCGGCGGAGGCGCGGTGCGGCCCGGCCGTGCGGGAGGCCATGCGGGACGCGGTGCGGGACGCGGTGCGGGAGGCGGGCGGCGGCTGCGGGGACATGGCGGAGAGGGAGCGGCAGGAGCGGCTGCGGGAGGCGGCGGCGCTCGGCGATGCGGAGGAGGTGCGGCGGCTCGTGGAGCTGGGGGTCGGCGTCAACTCGCAGAACGAAGTCAATGGATGGTAAGGGCTCGCCCCGCACCGATCCCCGGCGCTCTCGGGGAGCTCGGCCCGGGCGGGGGCTGCCGCAGGTTCGCTCCGCACGGGAGAGGCGAGGCGGGCTGAGCTGGGGAGGGAGGGAGGGAGGGAGGGAAAGGTCGATCCGCCTGTGAACACTCCGCTATGGAGCTGTCCCCATTCCAGAGAGGATAACCGGGGACACAAACACGCGTCCCCACTCCACGTCCTGCCCTCTTTGTCCCTTCTCCAGGTCACTGTGGACTTACTTTGTAGTGTTGGTTTTGATTTCTTCTTTTTTCCAGCCTGAGACGGCGCAGTCGGTCAGAACACAAACCTCGGCTTTACATGCCCTTGCCTAAGCAGAAATACTTATTATTAACTCAAGTTTGAAATTTACTTTCTCTTTCAAGCAAGGAACTTGTTTCCAGCGATGTATACAAACACTTGCGATTTGACATCTCCTTCGGATCCACCTGAGGACACTAAAGCGAAAGCTGTTCTGTAATAGACACTTGTACGAGTAACACTGGAGACATAAACACACACACAGTTTTATTTGGAGGAGGATTTTACAGGGAATACTCAGGCATTTTTGGAGACTGCGTTCCACAGGTTCAATTCAGCCTGTATTTACTGTGCTGTTTTGTGCTTGAAATTATTAACTTACAAAAAAAAAAAGGAGGAACAACTTTTTACACAGACAGATAGTTATAAAACAAGGGGGAATAGTTTTAAATTAAGAGAGGAGAGACTTAGATTAGATGTAAGGAAGAAATTTTTCCCTGTGAGGGTGGTTAGGCCCTGGCACAGGTTGCTCTGAGAAACTGTGGCTGCTCCTTCCTGGAAATGTTCGAGGCTGGGTTGGACAGAGCTTGGAGCAGACTGGGATAGTGGAAACTGTCCCTGCCCCTGGCAGGCGTGCAATGAGATGAACTTTAAGGTCTCTTACAACTCAAACCATTCTAGGATTCTATGAATTATAATTAAAAAATAGGAAAGATAAAATTAGGAAAGGAGCAAGACTTTTAAAGATGAAAGTTCAATCAGCAGTTTTGAGAAGCATGGAACACTTAACAACTTGAGCTTTAAATTGTGATTAAAATTAAAGATTGTAAAAATTTAACTGATTCATAGGACGCTGAATTATCTTAGATAAAAAAAAACTTGTCATCAGAATGAGTTTATGTCTAAAACTGGAATTGATGAAATAAGTCTTGTAATAAAGTTAATTATTTTTTAGAATAATGATCTGATCATTTTTAACCATGGCAATAAATGGATCTTCATTGTTGTTTAAGTTTGTACAATTAAAAATTTTTCAGCGAGCTTCTTAGTATGTGTGATGCTTAGAGGTGCTGAGTACTTATATTTTGGTATATATGAGGTCTGTGGATAGATGGTTCCTGTCTGCACAGGCCATGTGGAATGACCAGGATGAGTCCCAAAATGAGGCTGTGCTCTTGAGCCTTACATATCTTCCCAAAAACTAAATCAGCAAATTTTCTGCTCCATGCAAATACCACCCTATCTGTCTGACTTTGCTCACTCTTTCTGTAAAAAAAACCCAACCAAACCAAACCACTTGAAATGGAGAAAGCTTTTTGGAGCTGGACTTTCAACTGAAAAACTGAAAGCTTTTTCACTTCTAAGTTAATTTATCTCTGCTTTATTTTATATAATGTATAAGAATAGATAAACTTGGAGAAGGGTTGAGTATGTTCTTTTTTCTGAAGAATTTCCTCCAGCTGGAGCTAGAGAATTAAAATACAAAAGCTAGAGAAAGGTCAAATACCACTAGAACCTGGGAGAGGAAAGAATGGTACAACTCCATAGCAAGTTACATGTGTGAGGCTGTAAGTCCTCAATGCATACACTAAATAAGATCTGAGCACTAAGCAGCTTTTAGGATGTTCCCTTAATATGTTTCTCTAGTCAGCAACTGCAAATAATAATTTGAAAATACAGAAAAGGGATTAGTTCTGTGCATCACTTACAGATTGCAGAAAATTAGTTGTCTGCAGATCTCAGCTGAGTAATTACTGATGCAGCAAATGGCAACTGGGCAAAGAACTGTTCTTAGAAACTATGCTTACAATATTTTAAATGTACTTTACTTGCCAGAAAGTGCAAGTACTTGTGCTGGCAGCATTAATTAAAGAGTACATACAGCATCCTCGAGAGATACCAGTAATGGATCACACATACACACACACACCAACACAAGTATTTTAAGTACAGCTGATTATTTCAAAGATTAAAATATACAAAAACCTTACTTTCAGACTTATTTTTCCAATAGCCTTAAGGCTGTAGCCTAAGAAATGATAAATTGAAAAGATCCCGAACTTTAAAAATATTACTGCAGTAAATAAAGAGCATTGGAGCAAAGAGAAAATGACATCAGCAGGTGCCTCTGCAGAGTCCCAATCCAGGGTGAATTTCCAAGGAAGTTTGCAATTCAAACCTACTTTACATGTGCATAGAATGTTCTTCTCATAGGCAGCAGGAATGAGTGGAAAGGAATCTGCCATAGCTCAGGGTTTGACACAGCATTCCTGTTTTCCCCCGTGCAGGACCTGCTTGCACTGGGCCTGCAAACGGAACCACGCAGCGGTCGTGGCTTATCTGCTGCACGCCGGGGCTGACAAGGACATCCTGACCAAGAAAGGGGAGAGGCCAGCCCAGTTAACATCCAAGAGAGAGATCAGGAAGATGTTGGGAGG